TTTCACAAAGGACTTAACCATGCTTTCATAACCTATGCTAAAGCTTTTCACGTTCTGACTGACAAAATAAATATATTCTGGCACAAGGCAAAATGAGTCACAAAATAACGTGTGCATTTCCCTTAAAAATTGTTTACTTTATCATTTTATCTATCTTCTTTCATATTTTTATTTTATGATTTGGTCATTCAGACAAAAAGAAGCATAAATCACAAGTTAGCATATATTAACAGGAAGAAACAAAATCAAGCAAGAATTTCCTGTAAGAAAGTACAAGCCACCCAGACTTGTCTGGACCTGCTTCCAAGAGTGGGAAAAAACAAGTGAATAGGGAACAGTAAAAGAATAGGTGGTATTGTGCCACTGCTCTTAATAGCATCCAGTGAAACACCCTCAGAACACCTTCCTATTCTCTTTAACTTTTAGCTTTCCATAAATGAACCTTCATAATAATTTTCTATTGCATTTTTATCTTTGACAAACTTGCTAGCTTGCCAGGCTCTGACGCATGGTGAGCTTTCTTAAAATACTGATGAATTTTGGCTGGCCCAGAGGAAAAAGTATCAATAGATTTTTCTTGGATAAGATCTCAAGTTACATTTATTCTGTATAAAAATTATGTGACTGGATTTTTTCAATACTTTTTCTAAGGAGAAAACAGACAAGAGAAGGCATTAAATCTTGCCTTGCCTGTGAAGAACATGTGTGAAAAGGTTCCAGAAAATAGTTCAGTGTGACAAAAAGGCTAATGTAATGCCCATATTGAAGATAAAGGGAATCTATGTCAATTGCAAAATAAATAAATAGATAAAAATAAAAAAAATCATTAGCAACATTAATCTGCACTTCTTCAAATTTACCAAACTAATTCATCTGCAAAATCAGGATTATTGAGGAAGTACGTTTCACATAGATAGCCACACCAAGGTCTACACCTGAAATCACCAACTCTTTTTGTACACCAGAGGTACTAGAAAGGAGTAATTTTCCAATACATTCAGATCTCACAAAAAATGACTGTGTAGTGACAAAAATATTTTTTACAGGTTTTTATTCCAGATATAGCAAAGATGAGTGAGTTCAATAGGTTCTTGTTCCATCATAAAATTTTTCAGTGAATTATCATATCTCACAATTCTGAAAAATCACCTTAATTACAGCACACAAATTTAACAGTAGCCTTTTGCTGTGATTTTTACATACAAATGACTGTACAAAGACTACTACAAAGGTCTATTTCATTTCAATATCTACACAAGAATCAAAGGAATTAATAAGATACTACATAGGGCAATTAATGGTGTCTGCACCACATAAGCATGTAAAGCATGAAATCCCCAACTCTCTCTCACTTCCTGAGCTGAAGTCAGGATGAATGTAGCCTTCAGAGACGTTAAGAAAATGAGTTAAAGAAGAGTGCCTACCACCTACATGAACAATAGCTACAAAAAAAAGTAACTGCCCTTTCTTTTAGGCTAAGTAATTTAAGTAACTCCCCAGAAAAAAGACCTACAGAACAGACTCCCTAACTAACTCCCATTCTTCAGGAAAGACAAAGAGGCAGCATGGTGGTTGCAAACCAGAAAAGGGGACTTAAAGTCCTCATTGTCTGTTCTCTGGGATCATTGGTTTGCACATATTCTGTAATGATGTAAAAAATAATCTTTCAGGAAAAAGATAACTGTATTTTTAAGGTTGAATTCCTTACAGTGAGATCAGGCTGTATGTTCTTGTAACTTCTCTCACACATATGATTAAACAAGCATCTGCCTGGCCCTCCTCCACAATGACTTTCAAGACAGCTGGCCAGTTTAAACCAAATTTTTCCTGTTGGAATTTCATAGAAATAAAACTACCAGAGAGGCAACAAACTTGCCACAGTATAGCAGCTGATGAAAAAAGCATAAGCTCAGCTATAAACACTGCAGTTGATCTGTATCATTTTAAGGTTTTATGAGAAGATGGTGTCTTGCTAGAATGTTTAAGTAACCACTCGGAACTACTGTCTGCATTATTTGGATAGACTTTTCTATGCACAGTTATTGTTAACTGAAAGATGAAAACATCTTTTTTCGTTATTCCTTAATATACAACTAATTAATCATGGTTTATTTTCAAATAATCCCATAAATTCATTAGAATACTATACATATACAATTCTGCAAGTTAAAAATATATAAGAATACATCTTACAGGGCTTTAATCATTTCTTCTTGCATCTTCTGTAGTGAATCAAGTAACAGAGGAAGTGTAGTGTCATAATACTGGTGCTGATGTAGCTGTGCTCCTTTCAGAGCCAACACATACTGATTATGTAACATATGAAGCTTCATAGTGGCTTTATCGCACCGATCTTTGGCTTTCTCAGTCTCCTTTCCTAAGAAAACAAAAAAAGGAAAATTCATGTGGTGATTTAAAAGCATACAAACTTGTAGATGACACATATCTGGTAGATTTATGGTAAGTTTGCACCTTTTTCTACAGTAGTCTTTTCAAGGTACTTCTCCAAAGAAAGTAAAATCTGATTGTTTTCAGGTCATTAGTAAGACCAAATGTCTTGGCTTTCTAATTAAGACTAAGCAAGAAAAAACGGCTGTATTTTCTTTGAGCAGAAATGTGAGCATATCTAAAAGTGTATGAAAACAACTATCTACACAGGTATAAAAATAATATAACTATGCAGAATAAAGAACAAAACTCATACACATCACTATCACAAAGGTAATCTTGTATTTGCCTCAGAGCAAATAAACCTTTTTTTAATGAAGAAGAGATGTCTTCATATGTCATATCCATGACTCATTAATAATCTGTCATTTATTGTGAGCAAAAATTCTATTGCTACGTATTATCCAGATGACATGTAATGACACCAAACTGGGTGGAAGTGTTGATCTGCTCAAGGGGAGGAGGGCTCTGCAGAGCAACCTGGACAGGCTGGATCGGTGGGCTGTGGCCAACTGTATGAGGTTCAAGAAGGCCAAGTGCACTTGGGACACAACAACCCCATGCAACGTTCCAGGCTTGGGTATGAGTGGCTGGAGAGCTGCCAGGCAGAAAAAGAACGGGGGGTACTGGTTGACAGCCAACTGAATATGAGCCAGCAGTGTGCCCAGGTGGCCAAGGCCAACAGCTTCCTGGCTTGTATCAGGAATAGTGTGACCAGCAGGAGCATGTAAGGGACCGTTCCCCTGTACTCAGCACTGGTGAGGCTGCACCTTGAATACTGTGTTCAGTTTCGGGCCCCTCACTACAGGAAAGAAGATGTCTTGCTGGAGTATGTCCAGAGGAGAGCAACAAAGCTGGTGAGGGGTCTGGAGCACAAGTCTTACAAGCAGCTGAGGGAACTGGGGTTGTTGAGCCTGGAGAAGAGGAGGCTGAGGGGAGACCTTATTGCCCTCTACAACTGCCTGACAGGAGGCTGTAGTGTTGGTCTCTTCTCCCAGGTAATGGGCAATAGGATGAGGGGAAATGACCTCAAGTTGCGTCAGGGCAGGTTTAGGTTGGACATCAGGAAAAAATTTTTCAATGAAAGGGTTGTCAAGCATTGGAACGGGCTCCCTAGGGAAGTGATCGAGTCCCCATCCCTGGAGGTATTTAAAAGATGGGTAGACGAGGTGCTTAGGGACATGGTTTAGTGGTGGGATGGCAGGGTTAGGGTAACGGTTGCACTTGATGATCTTAAAGGTCTTTTCCAACCTACACGATTCTATGATTCTATCCCAATAAAGCAATGGTGCAATCTGCCTACGAGTAGCTGAACTCTCACACTATTAATCCTGTCTGAAATGGGCAGCCTCTCTCATACAACTTAACATTTCCTTATCACTGTTGGTATCCTGATCTGGAAGTTGGCTCTACAACCTCAACTCTACACATTAGAGACCAGAAATCCTCAAGTTCAGGCTGAGAAAACCAGTTCAGCTCTGAACCTGAGAGCTATAAAGTACTTCAAGAGGTCGCCTATTCTATTCTTTGCCACAGTAATTGCACAACTATTTGGCATATGTTTTTATTGTTTTACTTATATATCCAATGACAGACAACTTTGAAACTTCCTAATGCCATTCAGGTCTAGTGCTATGCTAGCTGAAAGCACTCCCCCACCTCCCTGCCCCTTCACTCTCCAATGTAAATCTTTATTGCTTTAATTTAAACCCTTACTTAACTTTGTATGTGCCATGGGTATGAAAAATAGATTCTACCATTGTCTGCAGTCCATCTTTTATATATCAGGTTACACACTCTCCTCTTCTGCCCAGTCTTCTAAACTTCACACTAACAGACCTACAGGTCTTCTCTTCTAAGTCCTGTTGTCTTTTTGCATTGACTGGTTCAGAATCTTACACAAGTGCAACTCCATTCAATGCTCAAAGCCAAAGAATAACTTTACATTCTAGATACTTCCAGCTCACAAAAAAAAAAAAAAAAAAAAAGTTTAAGAAAAGAAAAGAAGAAGGAAAAGCTTATCTTTTTTGAATACCATACAAACATGGCATCACTGACTACTTTTGCTTTGGCATCTGATCCTGCCAAGTAACACTATTTTTTTGAGACTCAGTTTATCAGGTTAATTTTAACTCTACTGCTGCCCTCCAGTGCACTTTGAATCCCTTCAAGCATAGTGATGCCTGGGAATTTAATAAACAAACTCTGAAACAACGCAATGAAACACTGAAATACCACCCAAACCGCATGTCAATATATATACTGCAATGTCCCATAGGATACATCATTCTGACAGGACCTCATTAACAACCATTCTCCAAGCAGCTTTACTCAAACAGTTTTGCACCTCCACTAGAATACTTTCAACTTGATCGTACACGGCCCTTGTCATAAAAGGATATGAGATTACTTTGATATGATTCCTTACTGAGACACATAAGCCCTTACTCGTATCTTTGCTATCTTCTTGATATTTATCAATTGCCTTTATCACTTTTTCAGGAACTAAAGGCATTTTAAATGAATCCTGTATCTGCAATTACCATGTGGAGATTCACAATTACCCACACAGATAAACACACTCTCACTAAACCTATCTCATTCAAACCTCAAACTTTCTTATAAAATTAAAATAACTTAAGTAATAAAAAAAAATATATTTTCTACCACCTATTGCAAAGTAGTTGAGAAAAAAGAAAAAGTAAGCATTCATAGCTAAGTGGCATAACAGAGCCTTGAGAGCAGACCAAGCTGAAATTGTGTCATATGAGGAATATGCAAAGTATTGTGAACTCCAATAAATTAAACTACAGAAACCTAGAAACTTGTTAAGGCATGTCAAAAAAAGTTGAGGGAAAAACTTGTAAAACAGTAACAAATCCTCTTTCACATACATTGGAGTCAGCAAGCTTGTCAGAAAATGTAAGGGACAGTCACTATATAAAAGGAGCTTGGGAAAAAAAAAAAAAAGTTTTTTTGCATCTGTGTTCACTATGAAAGACCCTCAGAGATTTCCAGGCTGAAATGTCTCTTTATGAAAGAGTCAATGAACTGACCTCTTCTGAGGTGTCAGAAGAAGAGGTTAGAAAACAAATGAAATAAGAAGAAATTAGAGGACTGGATGGTGTTCAGTTTGGAACTTTAAAGGAACTTGAGAAAGCTTTAGCTGAAATATTATTAGTTTTCACACGAGGAAGCAGGCACTCAATGGAGCGCCCCAGGAATACTAGTTGGGTCCTGATACATGAGGTGATAAAGATGATGCTGAAGATGCTGTCTCAAGGAAGCAAATGTGAAGAACTGGGAAAAAAAAAACAACTTAAGATGTACTGATTAAATTACAAAATGGTAAATTATAGTGTGAATATTTATAGAGATGCATATATGGAAAAAACTATTCAAGCTTAGTAATCTGTTGTAAGCTTACTGAATGCACTCAGGAATGAGATCTTGGGGTTAGTACAGAAAGATCAATAGAAATGTTAACTCAATGTTCAGCAGCCATCAGACAAGATGTTATTTAGCAAAGGACTATATAGTGATTAAATCCACATAACACAGTATGCTGTTCTTTCACCTCAAGGATAACATATTTGGAATCAAGAGCATCAGAAAAGTAGGAAACACAAGGAATCTGGAAGGAATGACTAAAATGAGGACTCCTGAAGCATCAGGAGACTGAGGAGCAACATGTGAGAGGAGACAAACAGTTAACAGACCTTCCCAACCTCTTGCAGTGTCACAATTGTAAGGCATTGTATGGAAATAGTACATTCTTTGTTAAAAACAAAGAGCATTCTTCTTGAACTAGCATGTAGCTAATCTATGCAATCTTTCAGTCAAAGTTACTGTAAGCATGAAAAACTTATGTGATTTAATAATGAATGGACATGTGTACACCAAAAAAATCCTGAAGAACTACTAAAACCTAAGAGAGACAGCACTTCTGATTCAGGAACTCCCTAGGTAACAAATAACCATGAAGTTGAGGCAGTTGTCTATCTGTCCCCTCATATGGCTCTCTAGACATAGCTACTTTGCCACTGTCAGCTACATTTTAAACACAGAAAAATAAAAATTACTTTAAAAGGGTATTATGTCTGTCATTTGACTGAAGACAATCTAGCTGCTGAGCTAATTTTATATGTGAAAGGAACAGATTCCTTTTAGTTCATCCGAATGAACAAAGTTACCCTGCACAGCAAAGACAAAACACTTCTCCAGAGTTGCCACTAGAGAAGTATTTTTCATTTAGATATGAAAAGAGAAAACAGGTTTTGACCTTGGGAAACAAACAAAACTAATGTTTCATGGGAAGGCTGTAATTTTCCCAAAACATAAAAAAATTGCACTATTTATTTCTGAACTAAATGTAAATCTTTTGGAGGAAAAAAATAAATCCAACACATCACACCCAGAATAACATCCCAGAAGTTAGATACCACCAAACATGCATATGTGACACCAGTGTACCAATATAATGTGGCAGTATACAATCGCATCTGTCTTGAGGACTAAATTCCTTCTCTACGTACATTATTCCTGCAGAACACCTCAACTAAATTCAGAATAAACTGAAGTACCATACACACTCAGTTTCTAAATACAGCAGGCTACAGTGTCAACCTGGTCATCTGCAGACCAAAACACATACACTCTAAGGTCCTTCTGGAGAACGAGATGCATGTGAACATGGGAAAATAACCGAAGGTGACTGAAGAGGGTTTGGAGGGGAAGAGGTCAAGGGGAAGTAGGTGCAGTGTAAGGACTGGATGAAGAAGGAGAGGATGATGCAGCTGGAAGTCAGAGCTGGAAGCACCAGGTTTTGCCTGCTCTGGCCCATTCCCTTGGGAGATACACTGGCCAGGAATACAGGAAGAGGGAGACAAGATGGTAGCAGAGGGAGAAATTCTGCATAACTTCTTGGGT